CTGATCATGGTGCTGACAGTGGCCACATCAGTGTCATGGAGCTTCTTCACAGAAGACCTGCACCAGATCTGCTGCCTTCTGACCCCAACAGTCATGATGTGCACAAGTATGTTGTTGTCTTACTTCTTCATGGCTGACTCATGGTCAGGGGAACGTGATGATGGCATTATGGTTAAGCTTGCTTCTCCTTTGGGTGCTCTTCCATGGATATTTGGGCTGTGTCTGGGCTGCAGGGTCTTAGGCCTCCAGAAGTTGGGTGATGTATGGCTCTTCAATTAATTGTGGATGGTTTCTAACACTGCCTTCTTTGCCTTCAGAGCCTTTGTGTTGGCTTTGGTTTTGGATTTGGGACAGGCTGGAGCCTCCCTCTTTGCTTTCAACACAATCATTATTAGGAAGTTCATTTAATGTTCTTTTGAAAGACAAAATTCTAACCCTTATTCTCGTAGAAGTCAGCCTGGAAATTATGTTTTCATTTTTAATCAGCAAGAAAGGACATATCGTTGGGTAACATGATGAAATAAAGTCACCAAATTTGTCCAGGTCCCAGTTTTTCTCACTTGCAAAAGTTAAATAAGGAGTAAGGAACGTGTTGATCAAATAGAAGAAAACATAGCAGCTAACCAAGATGAGAATGGTGTAGGTAGCTCTCTCTTCAGGAAAGCGTCGTGAAGACTGAATGGTACTGCGAACATGCTGTACTGTTTTGTGGTGTCTGTAAAGGATATTCACCATGTAGACACTATTGAAGGTCATTAAAGAGAGAAAGAGCAAATCTTGAATTAATACTGTACCTAGAAATGATACTGCGTGATAGTTCTCAAATGCAATGGTTTTACAATAAGGACTGTAATACCCATGTCTGATGTCAGAGGAGTTGATAGTAGCCACAACTCTTAAGATGATCTCAACATAGATGATCATGTTGATGATCCAGAAGAAAAGCAGAGAGGGAAGTATATATACAGAGATTTTATTTTTGAGCCAGGCCCACTTATAATTACTTGGAGTAATAGTCACTGCCTGAAACATACTCTGGAGAGAAGTTGCATTCAGAGAAATACTTCGGGTAACTCTCTGAATGTAGAGCACTGCTTTACACCCAATGTCATCTATCNCTTCTTGTGGGGGTCAATTAAGAAGGTGTACATACAGGATGTAAAAAACAAAGAATTCCCCGTGAAACCAAAAAATGTTTGAGAGATAAAAAGGATTTGAAAAATTATGCCACTGGAAACCATTGTCTTTCATTAAGATTGTCAAACCAAGGCCAGCATTTCCTGCAGACAAAGAACTTGATTATGAATGTAAAGATTAAAAATTATTGAGATTAAAAAGAAATTTACAAAGTTTCAGAGTTCTTTCCTACAGGGTAGGCAAATGCCTGGCCACGCAGGACAAGCAGGCCAAGAGGTCATCAAGATGATTAAAGAGCACAATTAACGTGCTTATGAATGCAGAGTATGATATGTTTTCACAATTATTACAGTCAATCTTCCGTAAATATTTGGACTGTTGTGAAGACTATTTTTATATATTATGATGCAGTCTTATTTAAACATTTTGATACCTAACTCATATATTTAAATATTCCTATCTTGAATGACCATAGCACCAGTACAAT